CTTTGACTGGGCTCCCTACGGCTAAATGCCTGGGAACCCGACTTTTAAGTCCCCCGCACTGGTCACTGGGGGACTTTAATTGTCCTGACATTCACGGCTGGCAAGCCAGGACGGCTCAACTGTCTCGCTGTTTCGTTCCACGAGCGCTTCGAACATACAGACGAGCTCGAGGATCTCGAACAAGCCATCTTATACCAAGTTTGCGCCGGCGAACTCATGCCAGATGGCCACTCAGATGCGGCAGATATCTATCATACGCTCAGCCATTGGCTATACGTCCGTTTCAAGCGCACTCAGAACCTCGAGGACCTCGAGGAGGTCCTCTCATACCGCACGCGGATGGTCGATCTCACGATAGATGATGATTCTCACGCTGATAAGATAGATCGGCTCCAATGCCTAGGTGGTGCTTTGCGCACACACTTCGAGCGTACCAAGCGACTCCAGGACTTGGATCAGTTGGTTTCGTGTTTTGTACGCGCCGTTGAGATCACGCCAGATGATCATCCCCAAAAGCCAGGCTTATGTGACCAGCTCGGTGATGCATTGCGTGAGCGCTTCGAGCGCTCTGAACAACTCGAGGACATCGAGAAGGCTGTGTTCTGGCATACACACGCGGTTGAGCTCACCCTCGACTCACACCCTAGCAAGACAATCTATCTCAACAGCCTCGGTCTCTCCCTGCGCGAGCTCTTCTATCGTACCTGGCAGTTGGAATACCTTGATCGTGCAGTACTAGCCTTCAGCCGCGCAGTGGAACTTCGATCCGACGAAGATCCCCGCAAACCGGGCGTCATCACAAACCTAGCCAACGCGTTCGTATCGCGGTCTAACTTCTTGAAAGACGTTGCCGATCTTGACCAAGCCATCGCAACCCTTCGCCACGCTGTCAAGATTATGCAGCCTGGTCATCGCCATATGGCTCCCTGCCTCGGTAGCCTCGGGGACGCTCTGTTCGATCGCTTTGAGCGTACTTCTCGACGAGCAGATCTCGACGAGGCTATCCTATTCCATGGACGTCTCGCTGAGCTCACGCGAGAGGGCGAAGAATATGGATCTTCAGGCGCGGCGGGCCTCGCGAAGTCGTTGCTCACGCGTTTCATCTACTTCCGTGAGCCCGAAGATCTTACAAAGGCCATAACGCTCTACGAGAAGGCGAATGCCCTTACACCGGAGGGACATCGAGACAATCCACGACGGCTGATCGGTCTCGCTAATGCCTTGCGCGAACGCCACAAAGTCGGGCACGATCAGAAACACGAAGATATACACGCTGCGGTGTCCGCAATTCGCCAAGCGGTGGCGCTCACGCCCGACGGGCATCCCGAGCTGACGCTACGACTTCATGAGCTCGGTCATGTCCTGCGAGAGCGTTTCCGATGCACCAAAACACAAGAGGACTTTGACGCGACTGTTCAGGCGTTCTCTCGTTCAATCGATGAAGCGCGTATAGGAGTAGCATCCCAGCGCTTCGGTTCCGCGATGCACTGCGTGGAGATGCACACCGCATACCCCGACTTCACCTCTACAGAAGCCCTCTTGTCGGCCCACGCCCGCGTCATTGATTTCTGTTCTGAGTTCATCTGGTTTGGGTACGGCTTGCATACACGCTTTGAGCAGTCCGCAACAGTAGGGGAGAATGTGACAGCCGCTGTAGCCGCTGCATGCGCGGCTGGCTCGCTGGAGAGCGCCGTAGAATGGCTTGAGACCGGTAGAGCTGTGATATGGTCGCAGGTGCTGTCTCTCCGTGCGCCGCTTGACGAGCTACGAGAGGTCCATCCCGTACTCGCCGGATCGTTGGAGCGCGTCCAACTCCTGCTTCGGGATACGACTTCGACCTCCTTCACTCGCTCTGATGCGCCAAGTAGCGTTCCAGGGCCCGGTGTCACGGTCAGGACTGGTCTAGAACGACACCGTCAGCTTGTCGCCGAACACGACTCTTTGTTGAAAGACATACGTAGTCGCGCAGGGTTCGAAGACTTCCTACGCCCGAAACGGTTTGAGGCGCTTCTCCCACCAAAGAGCCTGGTAGGCTCCGACACGTTCGTGTATCTGAACGTGGATGCATCGCGATGCGACGCTCTAGCGATCCGAAGGGACGTAGTCAGCTTGATACCTCTCCCTGACCTTACGCTCAAAAAAGCGAGCCAACTACGCGAACTCTGGTTAAGACGACTGAGGTCCTCTTCAATCCGCGAGCGCACCACCGGCGCGTTAGATGAGCTTGATCGCGACGGTGAAGCGCATCTGGAGCTTTCCCTCGATCCCAGCGTCCCGCCTGTTCGCGCTTCGGCTGTCGTAGAGACGGAGAAGTCCCTCAATCGTGTGCCAAAGCTCATGTGGGACTGGATCGTGAAACCAGTTCTGAGTGCGCTTGATATGCTGAAATCCGTAAGCTTACTTGTTCAGTGGCTGTAGAGAGTACTCACTAACAACGATGTGTCGGAAGAATGACGGCCGTCTACCACACGTAATCTGGTGTCCCACGGGGCCTCTAGCACAATTGCCTCTTCATACAGCAGGGATCTACGCCGAGCCCGACGGCCCTCGAGTGTTCAACTACATCGTCTCGTCGTACACGCCCTCCCTTTCTGCGCTCCGGAGCTGCTACACGGGCGCCGCGAAGCGGAACTCGCTTCCGAACGCGCTGATCGTGACCCAGCCCGCTTCGCCTGGGCACTCCCGGCTTCCCAACACCACCAAAGAGGGTACGTGCGTCGCGGACATCATGAGGGGCGCGCAACTGCCCAGCACGCATTTGAACCATGACCAGGCGACCGTGGCCTATGTCCTCGGTATAATCGGCCAGTTCCCGTGGGTGCACCTCGCCTGCCATGGTTCGCAGCGGCGCAACGACCCGACGCAAAGCGCGTTCGCACTGTACGACGGGCCACTGTCTTTGGCGGATCTCATGAGCACAATCTCCGACGACGCAGAGCTCGCGTTCCTCTCTGCCTGCCAAACCGCCATGGGCGACGAGAATACGCCAGAGGAGTCCGCACATCTCGCAGCGGGCATGCTGGCCGTCGGATTCAAAGGCGTCGTCGCGACGATGTGGTCGATCATGGACGAAGACGCGCCCGTCGTTGTCGACGCGTACTACAAGAAGTTGATCGAGTTGCGGAACTCTGGCGCGGTGGGCCGAGGGCAGACGGGTGCGGCGTATGCGTTGCATGAGGCTGTGGCGAAGCTGAGGGCCAAGGTTGGCGAGGGTAAGTTTGGGAGATGGGCGCCGTTTGTGCATTTCGGTGCTTGATATGCGCTTGAGCAGTACTGTACGTCAGCACAAGGACGTCTGGGCACACTTTTCTCGAGAAGGGTAGGTCGAAGCAATCCCTGTATATTAGTGCTTTGCATAAGAGCAGACGTCATTCGTTACCTGTATCTTCGTCGCGACTATAGTGTTTGACTGCTCTGATGATGACAAGATAACGATTCAGGTCATGATGCATGATGGTTGGTTGCAGAGAAGCTTCGAAGCCGAGACACAGCGGGATAGTTTGTTATGATTGTGTTGGCAATGAGCGATTCCACGCCAGATATAACAGATTGCATGCACGTATGTCCGTAGAAGTAGTGGTAGGTCGACGTGGGTAACGTGCCGTCCAGCGTATCCAAACCGACCCGATATCGCCGACAAGTGGCCGTTGATGTCAACTGGTCGCATCGTGCAGATGCATGAGGTCAGCGGTAGTGAAGGAAGGAGAGCATATCCATGTGCTGCAATTGCAAGGGTACATCGACGCGGGAGACGGGTGTAGCGAATCGGAGATGCATTTGGTATCCTATCCAATTGATGGCTGCGAAAGCGAGGGTGCGAAGCGGAGGGTGCGCGGGCGAGCAACGGTTGGAAAGTGACGACGCGAACTGGGTGGGGGTATGAACTATGGTACCGCAAGGAAACGCAGGCGCAGGTATAAAATTGATAAACAAGATGAAAGTGGAAAGAGATGAGAAGGACGCAGGAACGCAAGTGAAGAGTCAGAATCCGGGGGCAAGGCAGCACGGGGTGTCGGGCGCGACGCAGCGCAGGAAGTTGACGGTTACGGCGAGATATATGGTACGGGTTGCGGGTGCCGGGCGGCTGTGGGTGATAAAGAGCGTGTTTGTGTGTTTGTGCGTGGTGCGGCGCGGGCATGCGGGCGGTTGGCCGGGTCGTTTGGGTAGCTCGAGGCGGGGTTACATGACGAGGCAGGCGCATCCCTGCTGACTCGCCTGGGGAGCGTACGGGTCTTCGCCCTTGCCAACTGGTCCCCACACACTCGGGACCTGCATACCAGTCAGGATAAGTATTATTGAGAATATAGAATTGATAACTCACGAGATGGTCCTTGGTTGTCTTGCAGTAACGGATGAGACTGGCGCTGGCCTCTGAAACGCGGATGCGTGGACGAGCGAGGTCGTCGCGGAGGCGCTGGTTGTGTTCTGTGAGCCTGCGGAGCTTGAGCTCGCTCATGCTCTGCTTGTGCGCCCGCGACGACATCCTGGCGGTCCTGAACCATCTCAAGCCAACGACCGAAGCGAGCAAAAGCCGCTGCGCGCAACCGCCACGTGCGAAAGAAGCATCCAATATTTTGACGTTCAACGTCCGCGGCGATGTGGCGCTCTCATGTCCGCGCGCTTGACCAACGACCGCGACCATAGCCCATTCGACTATACTTTGATCTTTCTTCCGGAGGCTTGTGCAAAAATGCTGGGGTGACGATGCGACCCTATATATGGCCAGAAAGAGCGGTCTACATTTCAAGACAATGTTGATATCCACTACACAGCGTACTCGCTACTATACATTCAAGATGACCAAGTCCGCAAACTCGTACAAAGGTGGTGGAAGCACGGCTGGGGTATCATTATCCGATGTCTCGGCGTCGTTGTCGACCATGTACACCCGCAGCTCTTTCAGTTTAGGGACATTCTGCCCACATTCACTGAATGCGCGCATCCTGGATCGTAAGACGCCGCGAAGCGTTAGGAGGCTGACAACATCGTACAACATGAGGCACTCCAGCTCTGGTAAGACTGGGCCACCGAGCATGCACATGAGAGAGTGCCAATCGTCCTCGTCAACATCCTCGTCTTCGCTGGCGCTCAAAGGAGCATCTCGAAGGGCGAATGTGCGGACGTGAGTGCTCGCTTCCAGTAGCGATGAAAAGGTGCGTCTGATTCCCAATAGGTCCTGAAACTTTAGGTCCGCCATATACGCCATTGAAGTAAGTTGGGCGAGGACGGATGCGTCTGATTGATGCAATGTAAGCAGGTAGGAGAGGGAAGGGTCGTATTCAACTTCCGTCAGATATCTGAAGGACATAAAAAGCGACGATTGCGGCTGATCACTGTCGCCGTCAATGCTGTCCAGCGCCGGCAGTTGACCATTGGCATCGGAATAGAATGCGAATGAGAGTGTTTCTCGATCTCCAGGATTAACCGCGTTGGGGCATCCCGAGATAACGAGTCCGTCAAGATTGCATCCCTGTCTAGCCCTGAGGCAGTCCGTCACGACGTCAACGTTGGTGTCCATGATCTCTTCTGTGCCGAGGGTGAACTGCACGTCTTCGTCGACTTCTGATAACGCATTCAGCACTATCCTGGCCGTCGGCGGCACTCTGACGGAAGCCAGAGCCCTCGAATATCGTTCCCAGTACCCCGGTCCAAGAATTTCCGCGTCTATGCGCAAGTATCGAAGTCGACTCAATGCGATTGTGGGCATCACTTGATCATCTGGATTGGCGCCTTCTTGCAGGAGAGATCCGCATAGAGTGAGCGATTCAAGACTGGAAGCCGATGCCTGTAGCATATACATGACATGCTCATTGCTCAGTGACAAACCGGCGGCAAAGGGATCATCACCGTCTCCCACTGTTAAAGAACTGAGGACGGACGATGTCCAGCGATAGAAGGTATTGCTTAGCTGCAATGAGCGCAGCTGCGGTGCTTGGATCTTGGGTAGGGCGAGGAGCGGCTGAACGGGTCGCCATTGACCATCGATGGCTACACGCCTGAGACACGGAAAGGTGCACGAGTTGAAGAGGCCGTCTAGTCGCTCAAGGCGACCTGAGCATGCGTCGATAAGATCCAGTTCACGCACTTGTCGCAGTATAGGGTGAAGTGGGGCTAGACGCGAGATCGCATCGATCACGGCTTTGCCTTCGAATCGACATGGGGAACTATAAACCCGAATGCTCAACGGCATATTCCGGGAGCGCTCGATCATGGCATCCCATCCTCTGGGCAAGATCCCAACGTCTGAAGCCCAGAGCGCGGGCTGACCTAGTAGAGAAGCTCTCCATGATCGACAGACGTGTCCTAGGCGCAGCCACCCAAGATAACCACCACTGCCCAAAGCAGGGTAAATCTCCGTATACGCATCCTCACGGTTGTTCGATAGGCGACAGAACTTCTCTTCGGCGGCACTATGGGAACGGCAATCGTACGGCGGGCACGGTCGATCCATTTCGGCAACTAAGCTGAATATGTAATCCAATATCTCATTGGGCAATTTGTGAATGCCGGGGGCGTCTGCATGCCATTGGACTACAAAAAGTTTGCTCAGGTGTTCCAGGATACGCGCTTCATTGCGCATCGCGCGCGACAGCTCCGCGGCACGTTCGGAGGTGTGAGGGGTTTTGGGAGATGTCATTTGCGCATGGTAGTCGGCTAGCCGCTGTCTAGCCAGGGAAAGCCAGACTTCAGACGCCGGTGCGACTTCTATGTCCGGAGGCAGTCTGCATGCGCCAGTCAGTCTCAAGACGGTCCATATCATGGGAACGAGCTTACACGTGTGCATCTAACGTATCCATACCGTATATCCCACCGGCCGTATGAGCGATGAGGGAGGTATGGTCTGGAGATAATTGATGAGGATCGCTGGGTGATGGTGGCGAAGAGCAAGTCGCGCTGACGCCTTGATTGACGTGAGAAAGAGCTCGGCGTCGACGTCCGACGAGGCTCGAAAGAGGTACACGTTGTCTCTGACCATGTATGACCCCTGGCGTGGACCTAAGCTATGAGTGATCCGCTGGCTATATGTGAAGCTTCGTGTTGAAGCCGCTGGCGCAGCGCGACACAACGCGTCTGTGGACTGATATGGGTCCTTCTCTTTCTCCTTTTCGTCCCTGTTCCTCGTTCCTCGCCTCGTTTGCCTCATTTCTCGGCGTATCTACTTTATTACTGTACTAACGCCTTGCGCTCACTTGGTCTGTACAGCTTCTCGTACCAGTGCTACTGTATTCCGTACCTTACCGAGCCAAGCGCGCGTATCTAAACCCCCCACGAGAGAAATCGCTTCCTCACGAGATCGATTTCTCTCACCGCGCGCTAGCTCTCTCCTTACGCGTTCGCTAGCTTCGCGGTCCCGGTTCAACACTTTCGCTCAGGAGTCTAGCCGGCCACTACCAGTGCAAAAATGCGTCGCTGAGTATCACCGTCTATCATGTTATTGTCCACACTATAATACACGTCCTATCAATGTTTGTACAGTACCACAGACTCCGCGTACTCATACAACGTCGGCGGAAGCATCACTGGCACGTCCAGTCCACCTCCACCTGAGCTTGCCTCGTCGTGAGCTCCCAATAGTACGTGCAGCCTCAGCTCCCTCAGTTTCGCGACGGGCCAACCGACTTGACGCAATGAGCGCATCCGCGATCCCAAAATGTCGGGGAGACCGCGAAGATCGACCACGTCGTATAATATCAGGCACTCCAACTCTGGAAGGATCGGACAACCGAGCATGTGCACGAGAGATCGCCAAGGGTTTCTGTCCTCGAGACGCGAGTCTTCGCTTGCACTCAAAACAGCGTCTCGGAGAGCGAATGTACGGACGTGAGTGCTCGCGTTTAGCAGCGACGAAAAGGCGAACCTGCATTGTAGTTGGTCTTCAAAGCTGAAGGTCGCCATATACGCCATTGCGGTGAGCTGGGAAAGGATGGCGGGGTGGAATAGGTGCAACGTGTTCAGATACGCGAGGGAGGGGTCGTATCCCGGTCCCGTCATAAACCTAAAGGACGTGACAAGCGCCGACTGTGACTGGTCAATCCCATCCTTAATTCTGTCCAGCGCCGGTAGTCGCCCGTTGACATCGGAGTAGAACGTGAACGCGAGCCCTTCTTCATAGAGAGGAGTTTCCGGGTCTGGACGGCCCGAGATGACAAGGCCGTCGAGATTGCATCCCTGTTTGACTCGGAGGCAGTCCTTCACGATGTTGGCGTCGGTGTCCATGAACTCGTCCGTGCCCAGCTCGTAGTGAACGTCGTCACCACCTGTTGAATGCGAAGTGAGCACTACCTTCGCCGTCGGCGGCAGCTCGACGGCAGCCAGAACTTTCGAGTATAGCTCCCAGTCTTCCTCTCCAGAAAGGATTTCCGCGTCTATGCGCAGGTATCGGAGCCGCATCAATGCAATCGCAGGGATGGCATTGTCATCTGAGTCGCCGTCCTCTTGCAGAAGGAATCCGCTCAGAGTGAGTGATTCAAGACTGGTAGCAGATGTCTGTAGCATGTAAGTGAGATGAACATTATCAAGTATGATGCTGTCGGTATAGATGGGATCTTCGGGGTCTCCCAATATCAAAGAATTCAGGACCGACGATGTCCAGCGATAGAAGGTGTTCCTTAGGTGTAGTGAGCGCAGCTGGGGTGCCTGAATCCTTGGTTGGTCGTAGAGCGGCTGAATGGGCCGATGTACAAAGCGATAGATGACCGCGCGCTTGAGAGAAGGGAAGGTACAAGAGTTGAAGAGGTCGTCTAATGGCTCAAGACGACCTGAGCCCGCGTCGATGAGATCCAGTTCACACGCTTGTCGTAGTATGAAGTGATCCGGGGTCAGATGCGACATTTTATAGAGCACGGCTGTCCCTTCCGATCGACATGGGGTAATATAGACTCGGATGGTCAATGGCCTATTTTGGGAGCGCTCGATCATTGTGTCCCATCCTCTAGCCAAAATCCCAACGTCTGAAGCCCAGAGTGCAGGCTGGCCTAGTAGAGAAGCTCTCCAGGAGCGACAGACGTGCCCTAGACGTAGCCACCCGATGTCGCCACCACTCCCCAAGGAAGAGTATCTATTCGTAAATGTTTCTTCACTGCCGTGCAATCGACGACAGTACTTCGCGTCGGTGGCATTATGAGACTGGCACTCGTACGGCGGGCAAGGTCGGTCGATTTCGGCGACTAGACTGAATATGCGATCCAATATCTCAGTCGGCAACGAGTTGATGCCTGGGGCGTCTGCATGCCACTGAGCGACGAAGAGCCTGCTGATGTGTTCAAGGACGCGCGCTTCGTCACGCATCGTGCGCGAGACTGCCGCATATCTCTGACGAGATTGTGTAGTAGTAGGAGATGTCATCTCTGCGTGGTAGTTGGCCAGTCGTTGGCGAGCAAGAGAAAGCCAGACGTCAAATGCTGGTGTGGGTTCGACGTCTGGTGGCAGTCTATTCGAGCGTATCAGGTTCCATTCAGAGACGGTATGGAGGAGGTATAGGCACTTGTATACATCCACGGCATTCGCGTTCATATTTACTCAATATCGTGTCTACCGTGCGAGGGGGTGGCACAGTTCCGATCAACGCCGGACAGGTTGAAGATGATGGCAAGATTCAAGCCGCGTGTGATGGCGCGTAAGTATGCGACGTCGACCCAGGCCGAGTGGCGCTGGCCCGCCGGGCCGGCCACCACTCGCGTATCGACACCGGAGCTGCACCTCACCTCCGTACCGCCATCCGCGGGCTACCCATAACTATGAGCGACGTCTCCTTCACATTCTTCGCCCATCCGTCCGCCACAGCCCTGCACGATGCCTGGAAGCGCAGCATCGCCGAGCTGCTCTCCACGGAGGACCAGAGCCAGGGCCTCATCACCGTGCTCGCGCGCCCATTCGAAGACATGAGCGGCGCCGAAGCCGCCTTCGACTGCCTCGTCTCCCCCGCGAACTCGTACGGGATCATGGACGGCGGGTATGCATGCGCGATACTAGTATAACTCCGGATGATCATGCATGCGCTCGAAGGATCGACATGTACATCTCGCGCGCCTTTTCTGGCGGCGGGGATCTCCTCACGCTCAGCCGTGCGATCCAGGGCGACCTCTACGCGCGCTGGTACGGCTTCGCGCCGCCCACATCATGCACGCTCGTCCGCATCCCCGAGCACCTCCGCAACGCGCAGTACCCGCGCTGCACCGTCCTCGCGGTCTGCCCCACGATGCGGGTCCCGACGGACGTCAGCTGGCATAAGGATCTGGCGTATAATGTGGTGTGTACTCTGCTGTGCGAGCTGGAGCGTTGGAACGAGGGGGCGGGGGAGGAGGGGAGGATTAGGAGGGTTGCGATTCCGGGGCTGGCGACGGGTACGGGGAGGTACGATCCGGATATGTGCGCGAGGCAGATGGTGCTGGCTGTCAAGCACTTTCGGGATGCGAGGAGTAAGGAGGGGAGGGAGAGGCTTGCGGATAGGCGCTGGACCACGAACGCGTTCAATAGGCTGGAAGAAGCGATGCAGGTTGCGGGTGATTGAGGGTGGCAGAGTGGTGAGGCCGCTGCGTTTGTGATGTCGATGGCGGATTATGTGAAGGACTCCTGGGTACAGTCTTAAGCAGCCAGATTTCATATCTTACGCTTGATTCGCGGACTTTTGGCCGGGCTGCTTTTACGTGAATCCTCAATGATAGAATATGCCATCTGTTGGATTACTACGCTACAAATACATTTGGGACAGAAGAACTTCATGTGGAGTTGACTATGAACTCGTAAGAGTACCATTACTGGTTGACGTTGTACTGTGGCTTGATGTTCAGTACCACATAACCAAATCAAAAAGCCCGGTAACTCACGTTCGTCGGAGGAGAACCGGACACAGCCGCGGACGAGCGAGCGATGTCGCCAAGATCGACGTCTATGGAGATGTCAGTACTTCGACACACCTAACGACGCAAACGACATACCAGTCTTCTTGAGCGCCGACTGACGCGTCTCGAGAGCCCTCTGCCGCTCGCCTTCGTCCACAGTCCTCGTATAAACAGACCGGGACGCAGGCCCCTGATCCTCGATCCCCGCATCGACTTTCGGAGCTACCAGTCTCCCCTCAGCATCCACGCAAGACCTAACCAGCAAGCGACAAACGCACAGATCTCGTCCCCGTCCTTAACAGCAGCCCTAACATCCCTTCGCTCATCCTCGAGCCCCTCCCGCTCCGCGCGCGCCTCCTCGTCCAGCGAGCCCCAGTTGTGCGCGCCCGCGCCGCCTTTGCGCATGCTCGTGTCTACACCGTCTTTGTTCTCCGACCGGTCGCGGCGGAGGGCGCGGGGCGAGGTTGCGCGTTCGGTGCGGGTCATAATTTACTATTAGTATGAAGAGGTTGGAAAGGTGCTGGGGTTGGGTAGAGTAGAGTAGGTAAGAGTGCATAGGAGGTTGGGGGTCTATATATGTACGCGCGGAGGTTCTCGCTCGGTTCGCGCGCCACAGCTACGCACCATTGCATCACCGGCTCCGAAGGCGTGCGCTGCTTACCCTCGGCGTAAGACACCTTCCGCAATGAATCGCTGCGGTGATTCATCATAGACGCCATAAACGCAGGCGGTGGCCGAGATACGATACGTGCGGGGATAGACCAAGTATGCCAAGAAGTAGCAGTACTACACACATCGAGCGGTTGCGACAGGATAGATAGAGTAAGTATGTACCAGCAATACGCTTCGCGAGACGTTCAAGAATCAAGATAGCATTCGATAGCGGACGACAGCAACCAGACAAGATACACAACAAGAACCAAGAATACAGTATAGTACTTTCCGAGCGAGCGCGGGCCGTTTCGAACGACCTACAAAATTCAAGATTCAAGAATTCAAGACTCGATAGCAGCCAACAGATCATTGTCCAAATCGTCGTCCTCGTCCGCCTCAGCATCAACGTCCAGCTCGTCGGCGTCCTCGGCGTCGCTATAGCTGCGCGAGCGCTGCTGTGGTGGATTTGGATGCGGCGCGGAAACGGGCGAGCTGGGCGGCGGGGTGCGCTCCGGCTCGATTTTGGGCGCGAGGTGCGCGGGGAGCGTTACGGCGGCTGTCAGGCGCGAGGGCGGGGATTCGCGCGAGTGTGCGTGCGGTGGGGGTGAGGAGGGGTGCGGGCCGAGGGACGCGGGGTCGAGCGTCCCGCGGCGCTCGACGCGTTTGATTTTCTTTCGACACCTACAAAAGTAAATGTCAGCTTACTGTACGCGCGCCGAGGTTGCACGGAGATAATACGAACTTGTCGCAGACGGTACCGGGGCCGGCGGGGCCGGGACCCCATTTTTCTACGCATTTCCCGTCCTTGTAGCGGCCGCGGAAGCCACATTGGCGGCAGATGCGTTGACCTTGCTCGTTCGTGGCCGGGAAACCGCCTGGTGGGAATGCGGCGTCGCTGCGTGCATCGCGTGAAGAGTCCGGGTTGCCTGTATACTGAATCAGACCGGAAATAAAAATGAAGAAAGATAGGAAGGCGCGTACCATAGGTGGCTGCTTTGTCGACAGGACGCGTTTGAGTGCGTTTGATGGGCGGACCGGTAACAGGCGGTTGGAAGACATGCATGCGGTGTTGCTCTACGACCATGGGTATAACCCCGGGAGGGTGTCCAGGCCCGGTCTGCGGTAGAGGCGCCTCACCCGCGGCATCCAGCAACATATCGTCAACCGAGAGCGACCGAGAGCGGCTCCTCGCAGACACACTAGCGCGCGACCGCGGCCGGCCGCGCAGCTCAGCCGTGCCATTCTGCTTCGGCGACACCGATGCGCCCGCCGGTCGACCAGTAGCATATACAAAGGACGGAGCCGGTGCACCCAGATACGCTGGGTCCGCGCCAGGGCCAGTGAGGTATTGCGGTGGGCGCGGGATCGGGATCGGCGACTGTGGGGAAAACCGCTGTGAGCCACGACGTTCGCTTGTGCCGGATCGGGGAAAAGGGCTTACATCGCCGAGCTGTCGGGGGCCATCAGCGCGCTGGCGCTTCGCGGGGCGCTCGTCGTTGCCATCCATCCGGTGCCGGTGCGCGGGTAGCGCCGTAGGAGCCGGCGGCAGCGTCGCGGGCATGCCGGGGAACGCGGGCAATGTGCGCGCGGGGCCGGCGAGGCGCATGTGCGGGGCGACCTGCATGGCCATTGGGTCGGGCGGCGGCTGGAAGTGGGCGTAGATGGACGAGCCGCCCATGACGCGCGCGACTTCGTGGCGGGCGTCGTGCAGCCGGGCGTCGAGCGCCGCAGCGTGTCGGTCGTACTCTTCCCAGGCGGCCCGCATGGCGTTCATGGCGTTGCGCGTGGCGGCGTGGTGCTCGCGCTCGCGGTCGTAGCGCTGCTGCAGGTCGGCGATCGTCGCGGACGCGACCGGATCGGCGTGCTGCCGGGCGACCGCGAGCTGGGCGCGCAGATCGGCGTTTTCGGTGCGGAGCGCTTCGTGCTCGGAGAGGATGGAGGTCACGAGCATGCCGACGGTGCTGCTCGAGCCGGGCTCGGGGAGTGCGGCGGCGGGAGCGGCCATGGCGGGCAGCAGGCCGGTGGACAGAAAAGAGGCGGGCAAAGGGGAGCAAGAAGCGGGGCGGCGGGAAACACGCAAGCGCGATGCTTTTGTACTGCGGCGCGCCGCCCGGCGGGAGCGCCGCCTCCCGCCACGGCGGCATTGCCACCCACGCGCCACGCGCGCGAGCGTCAACGGTCTAGATCCCGCGGACATCGGACACGCGAGCGCCGGAGGCTGCCACCTTGCGCTGTGCGCTTCACCATCGTTTTCTGTATATCCCAGCTATGTGAACGGCCTGTTCACTGGTTGGCGTTGCTTTCAAGAGGCGCATGAGCGAATGATGTGGCGCGGATACACACCGTCACACGCGGCTTCATCATCTCGTTGATCGGAGCTGTCCCACCCTCTCGCACGGTAGACACGATACTGAATAAATATGCACCCGAACGCTATGGATGTATACAGGTACACTCGATTCCATACCATCTGCGAATGGAGCCTGATTCGCTTGTGTAGACTGCTAACAGACGTCGAAGCTACAGGTGCCCGACTACTATTCTGGCTTACAAGCCCACGCTACTGTGCTGAATGATTCAATATATATGGATATACGAGACATGCAAAGAAATATAGGACTGCGTTAGATGAGTAATCCTAGTCCCGCCGGATTCATCCCTCGAACTCTTCTTCGCCTTGTGTGGTCCACCGCCCTGCTTCCCGCCGCGCAAGCAAGCGCTTTCGCAGTGACAGGCGCGCCCGACGCCTGCGTGAATGAACTGTGTTGTTGCGACGATGCCTGCGGAACCGACTACGCGCATCCCGCAACAAGATGTGTAGACTTCACCGGCGACGTACGGAGAGAAATGTATTCTCAATCAGTGACATTGGATCGTCACGTTGAATCGTTGGAGATGGAATGGGCTGTCGAAGAGTCCTCGATCCGTGTATTCTTTGTCCACGCATACTCAGGGCTGTTGCCGCGTGACAGCTAAACAGCTCAAGTGCCTGATGGCCTTCCCGTCGTCGAGTCGAGTATCGCCTTAAGTCAACATAAGAAGAACCACAAATCAAGTAGTGGATGATTCTTCGATTTCTTGACGGGCCGTTAACCATTCCTCTATGCATAGTAGACGACCCAATTAGCATTGGACAGTCACCGATAGAACATGAACGTACGGAGCAAGTCTGGATCGCAGTCCAGCGATGACCACGCAACGTCCGTTCGTAGCGCATTCGGCGAGTACCGATGCCAGCCGTGGCGTATCCTGCCGATCATCTGGCCGCAGAAAGCCTGCTCTAGCTGCCTCGTCAGCCTGTCGCTAAACGCAGGGAACACCCAGCCCGATGTCCGGTTGTGGCTGCTCATCAGATGTATCGGACTATCCCATCCGCGAAAACTGCGATACAATGCGAAGTATGTCTCGCAGAACGCACAGGCCGGTTCGGATGTGCCGACGAAGGGTATCGCCGCGCGTTCGTGCAACTCGTTGAGGATCAGGCATTCGGGGTGGAGCGTGCGGATAGGCTCGATCACTGTATGCACCGTTCAGCCGTCGTGAGACAATGCAGATGAGGTATACGACGCAATCACCAAACTTCCTGTGGCGAGCATCGCCGTCCTCGCCGTCCGACCAGGTACCGCCGTGCGCGACTCGTAAGCTCTCGAGAAAATCGTTGATCCTGACGTCGTTCAATTCGTGCGCGTCGATGCCGGCGGCGTAGAGCACGCGGACCAGCCGCGCGCGGTCGACCTCGAATGACTTGGGCGCAGGCGGATCAGCATCGATACAGACGATCCCTTCGACGAGGTAAAGTAATGGTGACAGATGTGGCGAGATGGTGATGCCGGATACGCGCCGAAAGTGGAAGCGGATGACGGTGAGCTCGTCGATCCATCGGGCGACATCGATGTTCCTATTGTCCGGCGCTATGCTCGTGCAGTCAGTATCGGCACTCATACGCTACACACTGTAGGACAAGTCACCCGAGGTCAGTCCTGTACGCGAGAGTCGCGCTAGAAAGAGATATAGTATCAGCTTCGCGTGGTATGACGAGTGAATGCCCAAAACGCACAGCGAGCGTAATCGTCCCACGCTTGCTGTTTGCCGCTCTTGGATAGCCGGATTCTCCAAAGATTCGCAATGACCAGCGCGAAGCGGACTTTCCTCAAATCGGCGTCGCTCGGCGTGGCGTCTTCCTTCGCAAAGCGCGACAGCATTTTGATATTGTCGAGCTGGGTCTGTACCCCTAGTGCACCATTTGATAGCGGGAGCTCTTGCAGCGACGCCAACAACTCTCGCTCTTCGTTCGAAATATCTTCGCGTTTCAAAGCGGGCGTTCCACAGACGTCAGCCGCTGTGTCCATGAAGTGCGTGTTTTGAGAACCCGCGAGGATGCGATGTGCGAGGTTCGGCCAAGAGTATCGCAATACGATGATCTCGAGCTCGACGACCGCGCTCTCGAAGGGGTCGTCAGGATGGGAAGCGTATGTCATGTCCGGGTTGGCGGGCGGGCCCTTCCTGTCGACCCACAGCGACCGGATCATCCACAAGCGGAGTAACAGCACTCTCAGGTGCGCGGCGGTAGTAGTCATTGGAGAGTCCTCCGGAGGCATAGGCTCTTCTGCGACGAGGAGCTTGAACGCAGGTTCGGCCGCGCCCTTCTCGGCACCGATGACGATGCGTTGTCCTTCCGGTTCGGATACGAGGAGGTGAGCGAGGCTGTCCAGAACGCGGGCTTGGTGCTGGACGAGAGGTTTGGCGGCCTTGAACGTCGCGTCTGCGTCCTTGGAGATCTGCTTCTCCTGTTTGTTAAAGCTGTCGAAGGCTCCGGCAATGACGGAGAGATAGTCCGGGCAGCGCTCGGGGGCCCATTCTTGCGTGCATTTGTATGGCATTTCGACGTGATGAGGGTTCGGTTCAGGAGGCGTGCGGTGCCGCCTGGTGCCACAAACTTCCTGCGGCACGTGCTCGAGAGCTCGGGATTGGATAGGCTGGCCGCACTCTTCGATGGAGAGCAAGCCTGTCGAGCGGATTGCCGCCGGAGATGGACATGGTGGCCAGAGACAAAATCGATCTGATGGCAGACGTGACGCGCCACACGGGCAAGGGCCCCTCACAAACGCATGTTGCCCATAAACGACTACGACACTAGCATTCTTGTAGGTCGCCCACCTTGGACTCCGTATGAAATCGCCATGCATCCTCAGGCCTATGCCATAATGATGCAGCTATGCTACTGTGCCTTACAGTACTCGTGTATTCATACACTGTTATACACCAGGATAGCCCCGCGGCTTCCTGTCGCTACCTCAAGTTGTCCGCGAATCATCAAACGTCCAACCTATCCTTCCCGTCTTGCTTCCGCCGTGATTCGCTCGCTTCCAGTTCTGCGAGTTCAGAGCGGGATGAAATGTCGAACTGCACCGTCTTCTCTACCCTGACGGAGAGGACCGTTGTCGTCGGGTCTGGCTCGGTCGCAGTACCCGCGAAGCGCGGCATGACCGAACGCGAACGTTGGCCGAAGGAGATCGAGGTCCCGGTAGGGAAGCGCACTGGCATTTGGTGTGAGCTCCCGTCCGACCGCTTCTGACTGCGTTGGCGAATCCATCGTCGTGTGTTGAGTGAAATCAGGAGGGAGGTCGCGTATACTAAGAGGGTGGTCAGTTGCAAGCCGAACCAGATGACAGGCGAAACGCACGCTTCGAGATCGCGAACTAGTGTCCAATAAGAGATGTATCAGCGTCAGCGGCAGAGCACAATATAGAGGTGAGGATGATGCGTACATGCATGCCTAACCAGATGAGATTTTCGGGCATAGCGAGCCAGCAGATCAAGGTGCTGACTGTCGCGACACACGTCAGCGCACCCTGAAAGTAGACTGTATCAGTCTACATGTAGTCATCTGGTCTATGGAATAGAGGCGTCACATTGTTGAACGTGTACAACAGTAGAATGTCGATCGTGTGGTCCATCTCGCTGCTGAAGCCAGAACGGATGTTCTGCAAGTAGTAGCACATGGCGCCCGCGATGAGTATGTCGAGTGCGGCGGAGAGCGATAGTCCGAGAGTCACATTCCACTGGTACGATACTCAGATTGAGCGCGCTCAGCATGGCGGAGTGTAATACACGTACGCCGGCGATATCAACGAAAGTGCTGAAAGAGCGTATCATGTCCAACCTGACCGTGCTCGCTACAGTGGAGATGAAATTAGCCGCAGTCATAAACTTGCACAAGATAAGGCACACGCACCAATTCCGGATACTAGTTTCAAAGGATGAGCTCAGTTCAAGGTTCGGCTACTGACATCGTGACGCACCGAGACGACAGATAGAAAGGATTATCTGATTGCGTCGGTCAGCTCGTGCAGAATACCGGTTCGAATATGACTGACCAAAGGACCCGTGACGAGCAGGTTGGATCTACTCACTGCGCGTCTGTCAGCAGAAGCCATATCTGCAGAAGGAAATCCACGTACGTTTCCAGACCCGATGGGAGAAGAATATATGTACTACGAAGTTCATCATAGCCTGTTGGCATTGTCAGGAACTGGCCCGTTAACTCCATACAGCACGCTCACCGTAAACGCGATCGTAAGGGCCAATTCTCTGCACGAACGTCAGCAGAAGTCTACTCAGACGATCTGAACGGAGACTTGCGTATCCGAAAGGTCTGTTTGACTCGCATCGCCAAAGCCCAACGCGAAGTAGTTCCACAGTGATGTTGCAATAAGGGACGTGTGCACTGCATCCAAGGCCCAGACGAGCAGCACCTGCGCACCGTTAGCAGCCGCCACCATCTGAGCTGATGGCACGGGACTCACCAGTCCCTTGATGCTCCAGGAATCCTGCCCATACATCCGAAAGTAAAGAAAGCCCTGACATGCTACCACCCCCGACAATCTGCACGTACCCAGACTCCATGTTAGCGGGCGCTGAAACCGCTGAGAGGCCTGAAGACGCACGCCATGGAGAGAAGCCCGCCGAGCAGAATGGCGCCCAGATTGCTTTTCACATCGGCAGTCGGGTGCACCATGACCTCAGAGAGGGTGAAAGGAAAGAGCCGAAGAGCAACCGCCGGCTCGTCAGAGACCTCGAGCCCATAAGTATCGAGCGCCCCGCGCTGCCTCCCGCAAATTTAGCCTCCCTGATGTCGGAAGGAAGCTGTGATCGAATAACGGCCCACATTGAATTGATTCGTCCGGGTCATCCGACACAGCGCTAGCAGCGAGTACCTAATGGGCGCGGGGCTTGTTACCCGGGGTGGCGACAAGTTCGGAGGATGCATGCGCAGCGAATGGAATCGTTGCCGCGGTTTGCCGTCATCGCGACATGTGGTTGGTCGAGCAGGTAACTTCCCTGCTCGGTGCGAGTACCGTGATACCATCGGCTGCATCGCTTATGATCTGGAGGACGATAGCCCAGCAGGAGGGGCTGGATGGATGCCGGGGGCGACGGATGACACCCGCAGGGGGTATCCATTTTTTCCCCCATTTTTCTCCATGGCCACAGGCCGCTTCTATACATACCCCCTCCTCGAGACCCACACGAGTCCTACCGCCGATGCGAAATGCACGAGCCGTACGACAATATTCGTGAAAGCGGCCGAGGAACGACGGGCGAACCCTGCGCGCTTGCCTTCTTATTGCACGCAACCCTCCATAAAAACGACCAGCGCCTCTCTGCTCCCGTCTGTAGCCTAACTCACAGTACACTAGTACCCACACTCTACCACTCTCCCGATGCAATGAATATATGCCGTATACTAAGCGCGGATTTGTCGCATCGCTCCGGTCCCAGATGCACGCGAACAGCTACATAGGGGACCCCGCGCCAGTGCTAACACGACTCTCACTGTAACGACCACTTTCTCTACGCACAACGAACACCCACTACCATACCGCCTCCGCTCCGCGAGGGACGGACTCCAAATACAGGACACCCTCACAGCGCGGCCTCTCCGCCCGAGTCCAAGCGGACTGTCACCAGTACCTCCCCACCACCACGTTCCCTGCACTACGGTCAATGAGCACACCCACCCCCCCATCCTTCGGCCCTCTTGGCCAAGACGACCACAACAGATACGTCGATGAGCTCGCACAACTGCATGCTCACGGCCCGGGGGTTACACTCACCTACGCGCTCGCAAACCCGGATGGCGTCCATGTCATCGTCAAGGACGACAGACCCCCCCAACGCATGCCCGACCTCGAGCCCGCACATGACCCCAACCCCGACCCCCAGTACACGTTGGTGCTGCCCCCAAGCGTCTCCAACACAGGCGGCTGCCGTCCACGCTCGCAAGCACGTCGGTCGATGCCACGCAAGCGTCAGGGGTAACTCGGTCGTCACGATACGTACCTACGTCTCGGTTTCTCCATGCACCTCCTGTACTGTATCCCAAGACCAATGTCTCGCGCACCCGCATACGCGCCTCAATAGCATTCCATATTATCCTTGTTCGATAATGATACTCTTACACCGCCCTGTCCTCGCCAAGGGCTCCGCCTGACCAAAGGCAACCATGAGCACGTTCGCTACAGGCCATGCCGCTCTCCTATGCCCGCTCTCCGCCTTTCGCCTGGCACTGAATGACGATCTTGTCGTTCAAGACACGACAGCTATCGGCCACACGGCTCCCGCCCTCGTCGGGGACTTACAGCCCGATTACTGGAGGCGGATCTGCTACGTCGGGCGCTGGCTCACGTTCCTCGCCGCCAACCTTGGCTACCATTCGCCCATTGACCCTCTCCTCGACCCCACGAGAACTCGCGCTATCTACCTACCCCCAGCACACCTTCAAACTACCCCAATCGCGCACAACTTTTTCGCCGCCGTGTCCGTCGCCGAGACACAATCCTGGATGTGCTTCTACGTGCCCGCCAACGGCACGCACACGGTCATCATTACCAATGACGGCGAAATACCGAGGATGTTCCCGTCCCCCGCCCTGCGTACACAGAACCCCTCATTCGATGCCTTGAATCACTGTCAAGATCTCGTCCTCGTTGCAGACTCCATGGCCGAATTGTTCAGGGCGATCAATCGTGTCGACGATGAGCTTCTAGCCAGAGGTCTTGTGGGAGATCATGAAGGGAACACCGGCCTACGGCGAAACGCCGAGTGGAACTTACCGCACTTCGTCCTCGCGCCATGGATCACCGACGTCGCGAACGCCTGAGAACAATGAAATCCACATATGCCCTGTCCGCGTACTACGAGAGATGTAAATGCACCTGCACAATACGAACTATTACACCTGCCTACGTTAATACATCTCCCTGCCCCCACAAATGCCTACGCATGCACGCACGCGATCCCGAGCGTGCCCAGCGCCCCGTATCTGCACGGGCGTTCTGAAACATTCTCCACTCCAGTGGCTGCTTCCAGCTCACACAACCCGCACACAGGGGCCCCGCGGGGGCGAAGATCGGGCCTACATCATATCCTGCTACGGTCTACGTATGCGGCGCATAAGGGTACATACGCCTGAGGACTCTGGAACTATCACGTTACGCCCACACAATGGTCTTCATCTCGCGCGTCGTCTTCGCCGTCGAAACCCTCAATGGCGATGAGCGCATCGCCAACCTGCTATCCCCCACTATACTACAAGACACCACGTACTTCCCCAATTCCTCTCACGAGCGCCTGGTGGGAGGTCAACTCTACCAGATCATCGCGACCTGGGCCGCCCGCATGCTCCTGCAGACACACACATCCACGATTCCACATGCCGACGTTGTCCCCGCAGAACACCACCAGGCTATGCAGCTCATTCGAGGCAACGGCCCCAGGGTTCGCTCGCGCCCCGCAACGACACGCGCGCTGAACAGTAACCGCACACGCACCCTTGCGGTCTTGCCGCCGACCTTCCCCGACACAGGGTACGATGCCGACTCGCACACGCTCTACGCTGCCGTCGCAGTTAGCCCCGCCCTGATCTGGCGTACATACGCCTGGCACATCAACAGCCCTGCACCACAGGCGCTAGGGTACATCCTCACCAAGCTCCGCAATGCCCGCCCGGACGCGTTCGTGGCCGACCCCTTACTGGAAGGCATCCTCACCTGCGACAATATCGTCATCCTCGCTCGCTCCGAGGAGGAGCTTATCCGCGCCGTAGAGCGCATGCACGAGCAGCTTTACATCCACAGGATGCGCGCAGGGAGGTCGGCTTGAATGTGTAATGCAGCCTGCTACGTCCTTACTCCTGAATAACTGTACAATACCGTCCGTCGAATGCTACTACATTGTCTCGTGAGAGGATCGAATGCTCCTGATTGGAGACGCGGAGAAAATGAATGCTACGGTGCACACATCGCCACCAACTCGGGCACAACTTCTACAGTACAACCACCATGACCCACTCAGCACCTAGGGATGAGACCGCGGGCGCCAACTGCCCCACGTCGCCGGCTCTCCCTGTCCAAATGTCCCGCTTGCTCCCGACAACCCTCCACGCCAGCAGCAGACCCTAAACCGAGCCCTGAGACGCACCACATGCCACTCATCCCTCTCCCGGTCCCGTGCATACCACTCGTTCGACCGACACACATTGAGCGAGACACATTGACATAGCTATGACCGCCTGTCTAACACATATGCACCATACCCGTACACACCAAGATATACACCAAGAGGGGCATCGCGACGGCACCTACGAATACGTACGATGACGACAACATACATGCCTACCCACTGGCTAACTCGAATGCAGCTGTCCAGCGTACCCATAAACAGCCGCGCGCTCGAATGCTACACATCCATCCATCGCTTCCCCCGCACCCATGTCGGACAACGAACTCTCCTACACGAACCCTCCCTCCCCTGCCGCCGGTCCCGCCCCGCCGACGGCAGATGCGCCCCCCGCCGAGGACCACCCCTCACAGGAGGACGGTGAAGGGAACACGCAAGAGCTCACCCCGCCGCCGCCGCCGCGCCCGTCCGCCAACAGGTCCTTGACTGGTCAGTCTCAGCGATCGTTCGCCCGGCTCGAGGCGGTCAATGCTCAAGCCGCTGCAGAAGGTGCTAGGCCTGCCCGCAACGACGGCAGCGACGGTACCGTGCTCACGCCCCGCCCGCGCGGCGAATTGGCGAATGCCTTCCGCGTTCGCATGGAAGAGAATGTGAACCGTCTCGCCGGAGTTGTCAGTGTCGCGAATGCCCGTGCCGTGGCGATTGACCGCTCCAACGCCGCGTTCGACTCGCGCCTCGATAACCTTGCCAACAAAATGGACAATGTTATCTCAGCCACAGACGGCATGGCCGCACGCCTCTCTACAGTCGAATCCGGCATCGTCAGCGAGTCCGCCTCCCGCGCACAGCTTCTTGATGCGATCCAGGGCACTATCGCGCGTCTTGAAGCGGTCCACAACAACAGTCGCGGTGGGAACGACAACGTCTCCCCTACCGTGCCCTCCAAGCGCGCGCGCACAGACGATACGTCCACGGTACGTGACCACTCCACGCGTCGTGCGCAGCACTCTTATAAACTCCTCAGACCGGCTCGGCCGCGCAAACCCCAGGGGCCGCGTCCCAGCCCGAGGTCGGGAACTTCTCCCTGGGCGATAATGTACGTGAAGAACAGTAGTGTTGGAACTCCTCGCCCTCATCACTACTCTCAGACCACGCATTTCGCAACCCCGCCCGTGCCGGCGACTGTGGCTGCCGATCATGCGCCTGCCCCTGCACGAGCCAACCCATTCGCGCAGCAAGTTCAACCGGTCGCTCCCATCCCTGCACCGGTGGTGGCGGCCCCCGCTGGCGTGGCCACTCCAGCCCTGCCCAACCCATTTGCCCCGCAGGCGCAGCTGTCCACAACGGGCGACTATTCGTACCCTCCCCCGCAACACGCGGGGGTGGGTGGGAACATGACGCCTGCTGCTACGCAATCTGCCCCGGCGAGCCCGTTCGGCCCCTCGGCGATGCCAGCCCCTCCTCCCCTCGGAGTTGCCGCCCACGCCATGCCGACCCCGCCGCCCTCGCGTCCTCTCGCCTCCGCCCCAGCTGTTCGTCGCGGAGGCAACAACAGGCCCGGTATTTGGGTCGCTATTGGTCCGATGAATGGTCTCGGGCGCGGGGCGGGCCAGCTCAACAGCCAGTTTGAGGATCTCCTCAGGCTCACGAACGATGTCGAGCGTGAAACGTTCCTCGCCGTCCGCCGCTCGAGCAGGAGGGGTGCGAGGCTGATGGCAAACGCCACCTGGATCGCTGGGTTCTTCGATGACATTGAGGTTGCGATGAGATTTCGAGACGCTTGGAACCGGAACGTACCCGTCACTGCCCCGGATACACATGCTGAAGTCGTCGCCGAAGCCTCCCTCCAGCCTGTATGAAATTTTTAACACACAATTTGTATACTATCTCATGTAACATTAGCACCTCGAACCGAATACGTTTTACTCCATCTCCGTGCGATCGTGGAATGTGCGCAAGCGACTCGCAGACTTCATCCAGAATGAGGACTCGTGTCTGCAGCTCGAGCGTTACGACGTAAATTTCTTCCAGGAAACTGGGCTGACACCCGGCCAAGAACGTTCCCTGCGCCTACCACGGGGCTACGAGTGTATCGCGATCTCGCGTCCGGCCGGAATCCTTCTCCAACAAGGGGGCGGGCTCGCGGTCATCTTCCGAGAGGGCCTGTTTGAGAAGTGCGACCTGCTGCCAGAGTATGGAGGCCAAGACGTCATGGCTCTCGATGTCGGCTTCGCCGTCTTATTGAATGCATACCTGCCGCCCTCGACAAGCCCATGGTTACAGCGTGCGGGGGTACGGCCTATCGCGCAGCTTGCCGAGGCACTCGCTCTCGGAGATCGACTAGGCAAGCGCATGCTTCTAGTAGGCGATCTCAATGCTCGCACGGCAAGCTCTCAGCCGCAGCCAGACTGCCCCACGCGACTCTCCTTCGACAGCGTGACAACAGCGCGAGGCACGGAGCTCATAGACGTTCTAAGGGCAACGGACACGTACATTCTGAACGGGTGCGAGGATCTGGGACAAGAGTCCGGCGCATACACGTCGTTCAACTCAGATACAAGCGATGTTCGCCACTCTGTCGTCGACTACCTCATCGCGAATAATCTGGCAGCGCCCTACGTCCTCGACCTCGAAATTCTGCCTCGACTGGGCAAATCTGACCACGCGCCCATGAGATTCACTCTCGGCGTACGCGGAAGTGAGCTGCTGGGCGACCATGAACCGGCCGCGGCCAGAGCACGCCGCCGGCCCCACAGGCGACCGGACCTCCCAATGCACAGCGAACTAGACAAGGCATACGCGGCCGCGATTCAGAGCGCGCAGGATTCCACGCCAGAGACGCGCATGTTCGCCCTCTATGGCTGTGCCGCCACATGCTCCCGCGAGACCATCATACACACGGATGGCTCTTGCCACAGCAACGGGCGACAGGCCGCCTCCGCGGGTGCCGGGGTCTACTTTGGAGAGAGCGGTCGAAATTTGGCAGTGCGAGTACCGGGTGCGCAAACAAACAACCGCGCGGAAGTGTACGCCATCCTTCGCGCGCTCGCTGCATGCGACCCTCACCGCTCCTTGGCGATCTTCACCGACTCTCAGTATGCGATACGCTCTCTCACGTACTGGGCAGCTTCTCGCGAGAACACCGGATGGCTATGCGCAAACGGCGACATCCTCAGGAACTGCGCCGAGTGGCTGAAAGCCCGCACTGCTACTACTCGGTTCGAGTACGTGCAGGCACACAAGGGCAATCACGGGAACGAGAGCGCCGACCGCCTAGCCAACAAGGGCGCGGACGACCCGTCGCTCGGGGTATTCGTACCCATTCCGCCCCCCACCGCCGAACCGGCGCGACCGGGAACGGAGAGAATACCTAAAGGCGCCATCAAGGTCTCCACCTCCCTGCCACCGGCACACGACCCTGAAGGGCGCTGCACGGACAAGCGTAGGCCAGCGTGGAAAGACAAAGGTCAAAAGGGACGGAGGGGAAGAAACAGGAAGCACTGGACCCAGAACAAGCACCAGGACGCGATCGTGGCGGCCAGCCGGGCGGGCAAGCCCTTCTGGCGTACTTGGAGACGCTGCATGGATGCTAAGAAGAGACGCGCGAAGGTCTCCCTAACAGACCTGGCAGCGACGTTCCGGCGGCGTATGAACCGCAACGCCGAGCCTCCAGACTCCTTCATCCTCTCCGCTCGTGTGCAAGCCCGCCACCTCGCCCGCCGCCTTGAGGATATTACACCAGACATCCCGCCCGACGATACGTTCACGCGCGAGTGGGTCCCCGCGGATATTGCATCGCTCAAGGCCAAGATCAAGAGCGACGCGAAAGCCGGGGCGCCTGGAGTAGATGGTATCGCCACGTCCGTGCTCATGATGGTGCCCAACGAAGCTCTGTGCGACCTCTTCAATCAGTGTGTGCGAAAGCAGGGCGCTCCCTCCATATGGCTTCTCACGGCCGTCATCGGGATCCTAAAGAAGAACCTCTCCCCGAAAGACGCGGCGAGCTATCGCACCATCGGCCTCGAGTCTATTGCGTTGAAGATGATGACGCTACTCATCCACAAGAGACTATATGCATGGGCGGAAAGGCACAAGATCTTCCCAGCCTCCCAGAACGGGTTCCGTCACGGATACAGGACGAACAACAACGTCTTCATTCTACGCAGCATCATCGAGAAGTATCAGGATTCCAAGCTTCCCGTGTACGTTGCGTTCGTAGACATCAGCAACGCGTTCCCGTCTACGGACCGGGACATCCTCTGGCTCACACTTCAGCGGCAAGGCTGTGTCGGGCCTATAGTGGACTGGCTTAGGATGCTCTACTCCAACATGCGCTACGTTGTGCAGCTCGAGGACGAGTTCTCGGACGCTTTCGCCTCCGACATCGGGGTTCTCATCGGTGACCCGTCGTCTCCTACACTATGGAATCTCTTTATATCCGACTTCAAGCCTCCGGCCCACCCAGACGACCCGATCCTAGGCTCGCAGAATATACGTGTCTCGCATGTTGAGCACGCAGACGACATGCAACTCATCGCGCTCGGCGCAGACGGGCTGCAGGCACTCCTGGACTACCTTTATCGATGGGCAGGCGAAAAGCAGCTGCTGGTGAACAGCATCAAGACGTGGATTATGATGTTCGGCAAGATACCGAAGAACCCCCCAATCTTCCGCCTCGGCGGGCTTCCCCTCAAGTACACGGCGACGCACACATACGTCGGCGTACACATCAGGTCCACTACTGGCAATATCTTCGCGCCACACTACTCCGACATCGCGGCGAAGGCGCGCGGCGCCGCACTCGCGATTCTTGCTGGCCACTCCGTCTTCGGCGACCTCCCGCCCGAGACCCTCCGGCTCCTGTACCTAGGACGTGTAGACCCGCATCTATGCAGTGGCGCCGACATCATGGTCGACGTCGATAGGAATGTCGAGAAGATCATGCGCGTGCAGCACGAGTTCCTGAGACGCTCGATGGGTATATTCAACAACTGGTCGCCACGCACGCCGCTCTTCACGGAGCTGAATGTCTGGCCGATCCGCTATAGGCGCCTGACACTCGCGCTCCGTTACCTCAGGTACCTGCTTCAGCAGGATGACAGTCGTCTAGTGCGCGCGGCGCTAGAGGAGCAAATCGCCATGTACGACGCCACGGTCGCCGGCTTTCTCGGCGACCTTCGCATCGCCTTCGACCGGCTGCCGGTCAAGGTCAGTATGCCCTCCACGGCGGATATTCGGGCGAACGGCACAGTGGATAATCTGATCAACGCGGTCAGCAACTCTATGAGGGAGTCCCTGCGCCTGGACATCGCCACGTCGCCGCGCTTGTACCTCCTGCGCGACAGGCCCGAGCCGCAAGCGCGCGGCCCTCCTCGGCCCACTCTAATGAGGCTTCGCCACTACCTCAAGATCCGGAATGCAGACGACAGGTCGGCGATGGCAAAGCTCATGATCAGCAGCCATCCCCTGGCAATCGAACGCTTTCGCCACGGATCTGGGGTGAGGAACGGTGTGAAACGCCTCATAGTGCCGCGCGAGGAGAGGCTCTGCCGCCTGTGCGCCAAAGCCGTAGAGTCCCCGGAGCACGCCGTGCTCGTGTGCAACGGAAGTGACGCGCTGAAACGGCTCCGCGGCGACTTCTATGCGAGCCTCCACGAGACGCGACCGGACTTTGTCAGGCCGTACACGGAGGAGGAGGCATTAATCGCCCTGAGGACGCTCATATGCGCTCACGACATCTGTGCACTGCTGGCGGCGTTCGTCAATAAGACGCTGAAGCTCTTCGGGGAAGTAGAGCTTGTGTGGCCTTCTCGATATACAATCCGTGTAGACGAAGATAATGTATCTGACGAGGATGAGGTGGACGAGACGATTGCTTAATGCACCGCGCCTTCCTGATCTCAGTTGCGAACATCGCCTGCCCTTGTGACCCCCGGCGGGGTGGCTAGCTGTAGTTACGACGCTGGTTTGTTGAAGCCCGTTTTGGCTGCCGTGACCCTCCCTGAACGCCGACAAGTGGCGGAACATGCTAGCCTCTGATGTGATGGCTGGTCGTTACCTGGCCCCCCATTGAGTACGATAGACCGCTTGAGTCCATGGCGTGCCTGCGGCAAGAAAGTGAAATCGTTGTATTCAATGTAAGGGGTTAATGGGCAGCCCGTGGCGACACGTGTTGGGCCCAGATCTCCCCAGTCCCGATCGGTTGACCCCGGGGATTACTTACTTACTTACTTACTTACTGAAGATTGCGGCATCATTGAAACTCAGACAACCCAAAGTTGTAGTAGGGTGGTTCTGCGAGTATATGTCCATCTTCAGCTGCAGTCGCCGAGAAGAGAGGCAGGGAAGGCCGGCAAGGGCCTCTCGGAACATTACCATGTAGCGCTGGCAACGCGACAACTAAACGACGCAACGGCTCATCACGAGTAATAAGCTAAGAAATGGTGCGTCATACTGTGCTTAAGAACCTACGCCTGGTCATACCAGTGACTGGGCTTGCCCTCGCACAGTAAGTATGACTGCCTCATCGCCTACGGCGAGCACACCAGACGGTATCGCAGCGTATCCGTTGGAGGTGGCCGTCAAGAGCAAGCAAGGCTCGGAACCGCCGGGACGGAGTGAGCGACGCGTTATGTAACGCGTTCGTCACAACCTTCAGTTACATCCTGTTACATCGCCCTCGCTTCTCGCAACTCGCATGAGCGTATACCGAACAACTAAGTACATGGAAGTCTATGAATGGCAGACGGGTCTGACTGTAAATAGACACTGCGCGACATGATGGACAATATGGAGCACTCGAAGCGGCGGGTGGGGTATTTGGTACCAATGCGCTGCACCACCCTATCTGCGACTGCAATCGTTCAGTTCGCAAGTAATTAAACTGACTTAGCGACGGAAGACCGCCACTACGCTCTGAAGGAGCTTCAATCACGATAAATTCCTGGGTGTGTCCAGAGTGGTCGCAAAGTCGGGATTCTGAGCACGCAACACGAGTGTTGGGGTCGGACTCGCAGGTGAGAGTAGGACTGTACTTGAGTCCCCTCGCGAATGGCGTGGATACGCAGAGTAGGATTGCGTTGGACTCTTTTCGCGTCTGATAAGCCGAGGATCGCTGGAGGTCAAGGTTTCCTCGTAAGGCGTCGGGGATCGTCCGCTATCAGAGACAGACATCGTAAGAGGTGTGGGTGATACAACATCAGTGTATGAAGGCAGATCTCCAACGTCGTTATCGCCAGCCTCCGCTCCGAAAGCAGGGTCTATCTCCATCGCATGGGTACGACGACGCTCCCGGCGTTTCCACCAGCAGAAAAGCAGAATACTAAGCAAGATCGCGATAGCAGCCCCACCTCCGGCTGCGCCACCCGCTATAGCAGCCGTCCTTTCAGAAATAGCGTCAGTGTGTGCGATGAGAAGAAGTATAGAGATGTAGATACTCACGGAGAGCTATGTTGCGAAGCGAGAGAGCTCGAAGTCGCACTCGGGGTGCTGGCAGCCGAAGATGGAGAAAGCGGAGTTGAGGTACATGTACTTGCAGTCGAACTTGTTGTGCTAGACCTGATGATAATGAGTAAGTGTCCAGACCAGCTAGCTTTTGGAGGGACTCACGCCTCCGTCAGGCAAGATGAATCTACTCTATCGTCAGAACGATTTTTGCAGAGAGCGGCCCGAACGCACCAGTCCCATCAACTACGTCGATGTGCGAGTACTCGTGATGTATCCCGGCGCTATCGTCTATATACACTGTAGCTTGTACGCCTGGAGCGAACGTAAGCGACTGAAGCCATGAATGAGTGGAGGAAGGAGTACCCGTATCATACGCGACTCGTATTGGATAGACTCTGGCATTGACATTCGTGGCGACTCGGGATAGATCACCGCCAGCGGAGACGGAGACATTGACAGGGAGAGTATAAGCCGTCAGATCGAAAGTCTGGGTGGAGCATTGGGGCCATTCGATACTGTTACCGTCATCCCCTACAGTTGCGCCGCCAGCTCTGTAACTTCGATCAGCTGTGCGCGAAGCAACGTGTTCGGGAACTGACGGTGTCGGGTGCACATCACAACTTCCATCGCTATCTTGACTGGATTCTCCTGTGTCGGGTATTTCAGAGCACCGCGGAGGAAAGCAGGATGGCCATGTCCGTACCATCTGATGTTATAGTGATCGCAGACCATCTAAGATCCCTCGTGGTGTCCGATATCTCGAGAGTGATGAATGCGCCTATGTGTATATTGCATAAGACAAGACGGTTTTGCGCCAAGACTCGGTTGCGTACCTGCCGGTATGTTTGGGGGGACGATGTAAACCAAAACCGGTTGAGAGGCGCCGACAGCTATCTCCTGTGGTGGAAGACCGTCCACGTTTGGGTCGATTGTAACGTTGATCGGAGGAGCGAAGGGAGTAAGGTTGATAGGCTGGGCGCTGCATTGAATCCAAGAGACGGACGTCGACGTGCTCATAGTCAGTACAGGCCGGACGCCGTAGATAAAGTGGGAACGGGTGAAGGTCCGGGGCGAGCGTATAGGCCGTGCGTGTCGGCGTGCGGTCGTATTATAAGCGGCGGAATTCATGCCCTTCGCAGATGCCTGAGGGGCTTCTCGAGCACTAACAGATGTAGGAAAAGGGACGCGTTTTGATCGACATGGCGGGTAGTGCACGGCTTGCCGGTTCTATTCTCATGCCACTGGGGCAACTTGTGGTGAGCCCGACGCGGATATAGGAGAACTAGTAGAGAATCACCAAGGAGGTTCAGAGAGCCTTGTGACATGTTCTTTCTGTTCTCCCAGAAGACGCTTCAGGACAGAGACCGCTACGATTAGCCATCTTTCGGGCAGCCATGCACCAAACACAGGGTGATGCCGTGTGGAAGCCGGGCACTCCGGCGAGTTTCAGCGTCGTCTCGCAAGCACCAGGCGACGTTGTGAAGCTCCTTTGATGTGGTATGGCGGACTCCCGAACTCTAAGACAAGCAGCTCGGAGTATATATACGGAAACGAGTTTGCCACCAGTCATGGTGGTTGAGCGTCAGGACGCAGGACGCGGCAACATGGACGGTGGACACCCCGAAGCGGCAATCACCGGTTCGTCCCCGCCGCGAGACTCAGCCAGCACCATCGTTGATCGTTTTCTACCACGTCTCAAGAGACAGTTAGTGTAGGGCGGAACATGAGCTTGCGGTGGAGCGGGCGAGCGTACTCAATGCTCCAAGAACATTGCAGTTCATACATCATCAGCACACGTCGCGAAACCTAAGTCTAGGACATTATATGTTCAATAGGAACCCTTCGGGCACCATACGGCCTCCAGAATTGCTTGATTGAAGAAGTACTCAAAGCGATGCGAGCCATGCGCACAGTGATCTGAGTATGATCGCGAATGTGCGTGCAAGTGCTATCACATATTAGGAACGCGGGACTCCGCTAATCGCACGTCGGACTCTTCGGCGGGCTAGCAGTAGTACAAGCAGTGGTCGCATATCCAACATTGTCCTATCACAAATGTTCGTAAGGGTATAAAGGTAGAATGTCCGGTGTCGTGAGAGTATGATAGAGACAAGAGATAAATATATGAAGAGAAGTTCGCCGTTGAACCTGGCTAGGAGGCGCGATAGGTCCGGGATGGGCCAGCAGATAAAACACCATCCTCGGTTACATCAGGGTTATGCAGCACAAATGCAGAAGGGGAGTAATTTGGGTATAGTAGCGGTGTCTTCGAGTCTGTCCGAGCATGATGCAGATACGATGCGGACGACGACACAGAAGTCTTCACCCCGCCACTCGAGCGAGAGGCGCTTGGGGACGAAGATCCTCCGAGAGGCGTTCGAGAGCGTTCGCTCTCAGAGACTGAGTCTCTGAACGACGGGGACACAGCATCTCCATAAGAGACGCTACCTGTGAGCGGAGTAGGAGACGAGATCTCTGCGTAGGATGGCAAGTATCCTGGTGTCTCTTCATAAGCCTCGCGTATGCCGGGTTCAATCTCGACAGCTTGAGAGCGAACAGTCTGTCGCCGCCTCCATATGCAGAAGAGAACAAGGGCCAGGGTAATGGCAAGAGCGGCCACGCCGCCAGCAGCTCCACCAGCGATGGCGGCAGTTCTGTGGTGTGCGTATGAGCTTAGATCGTCACAGTCAGCGGAAGTAGAGACTCACGATGTACCATTGCGCGATGCAGTGGCTCCAGAGCTCGAATGAGCCGGAGCTACTGTAGAGCTTGATGTAGGACTTGACGCAGTAACACTATTGGAGAATCCGGAGAACATTGCGATCAGCGATCGGTAGCTCTATATGAAGCCTGCAACGAGAACGTACGACGACGGGAGACATGACGAGTCGTCTGTCAACAGGTCAGATTACGCATATCCACGCCCATAATTTCAAGCTACGCACTGCTTTCTCCAACTTCGATCCTGGAATACACGCGCGGATCTGGGATACCTTGATCGTCGGCTTGCTGGTCTACATGTAACTGGACTTGTTCTCCTGTAACGACGAACAAGCAGTCGAGTAAGCAACCGCAATCCATGCTAAAGGCTTTTGCCATACCTTGATGCCACCATTTCACATCGATAGGGTAAACCTTCGCTGTCAGGTTCGTGGCGAGACTCGAGATGGATGTGCCATCGTCGACGGAGATGGACAAATTGACGGGCTGACGAAAGCCCGTCAAATCCACGAATTGGGTACTGCAGATAGGCCAGGACACTCCAGAGCTGTCACTATCTCGTATCGCGATCGCCTTGCTGGAGACAGTCAGCTGGAAGATGATTGAGACGGTCGAGCTACAATCGTACCCTGGATCAGGGTGAGAACAAGTTGGATCGCCACTATGATCGCTGACTGTAAATTGACGCACAATTAGACGATCTCTTTGCGGTTCTTTGCATGGATCACGTACCAGGGGAGGCGATGTCGTTCCCACTGAACGAGTAGTTCTGTCCCTTCAACTCCTCGATATAGAGCGTAAAATGTGTCCCTGTCAATGATGAGTCTCAGTTCACATGAGAGCATTGCCTCGCTCACCAGCTGCTATGGAGAATGGAACCGTCCAGTTGAAGAAGGACTCGGTGTAACCGGTGGCTAGGTTCATCTGCGAAGCATCAAGGGAGTTCGGGTAGACCCAGATGTTCACAGGAAGGATGAACGGAGTGAGGTTGATGGCCTGCAATGAGCACTGAGGCCAATGAAGGGGGATGTAATCCTGAGTGTCGGCCATATTGTTCGGACACGTCAGCAAGTGCGGTGTAATCAGAGTATGGTGCTCTCTCAAAGGAGAGGGGGCATCGCAGAGATCCGGGACAAGGGAGACCAGCCGGAACCTATCGCGCAGTGCGGGGGGGTCAGGATTATAAAGGCGGGGCCATTGCACTGGTCGCTCACGTAGCGTATCAGACGCTTTCCCCTCTGGCCAACTTCTCGCTTCTCGTTGGGATCCTTCCCGGATCGGCGACAGGCGTCATCGATGGGTGCAAGCCAGTTTCCCGTCATTCACCGCAACTGATCTGGCCGACATGAACTTGCAGCGACGCATAATACATTCGCGAGCATCTATATGAAAGCACATGAAGAGCCATGCCCAAACAATGACTGGCAGTAGAAACATACATTTCAACTATACAGAGTGAGTGGTGGTGCCGCTGGGAAGGCCCGGGTATACCGGACAGTTTCAGGGCTGGATCTCGAGGTTAGTGATCGCTTCGAAAGCCCCGGGTGATAGGAGCAATCAGCCAAAACTAGGCGATGTGGGAGGGGTTTGCACTGCCAGACGTCGTGAGCCTCATGATGATCATATGGCTCGCATGCTATAGTCTCCAGGAAGCTCTACGGTGTCCGTGTACGAAGAGAGACCCGCAAGGCACACGGCGCATCGGTTTGGGCAAACATGATACTCATGGAACCTGAGGCCCACAGCGTGTCAGCACCAAGTACTCCCTGAAGTCAGAATACAACGTACGTATGCGCTGGTGCGATTCCAATCCGAGGCGTCTCTTGAACTACGGTGTCAAGGTATAGCGATGTTGATATAAATAATGCGGGGTGAGAATGTCGGGCATGTCGGAGTTTCATCGTTCAGTTTGCGAGCAGCATTGGCATGTTATTTCAATGGGACATGAGTTGACAGCTCTCCGACCAACATATCATGCAAAGGAGTGAAGACGAGGCATACGCATGCGCCCGTGTTGAACGTCGGATCCCAACGCGCGAAAGGTCTGCGCCAAACCGCGGGAGAGTCGGACGGCACTTGCCGGGCGCCAGCACCCGCTGGCCGCGAACAGTGTGAACGCTGCAGACGGCGCTCATCACCCATGAGGCACGTACTGTATTATACGCGATGCAACGCCTCTAGGCCTCACTCTAAGGTCTCCCAACTACGTGGAAGACATGCCGCCAGGCCTACGTCACCCACGCGTTGCACAATGATACTCCCTCTGTAGATGACCTCTCATTTGTGCCTAATAAACGTCGACAACTTCGGTCATCTGCTCAGTGCTCAACGTCGCAAATACCCTTGTCAGTTCACCCAGACTCGTACTACGCCAAACGTGGCAAGCTGTCTTGCAGCCCACATGAACACCCGATTCAAGAATAGCACGACGCGTACTACTTGAGTGTCGCTCTGTACTACTGTGTCATTGAACCACTTCCTGTAGCGTCGCTTCTCAATCGTTCCGGTGTCTGACTGGAGGCACCCCGCTCCGCTTTTGATACCGAGGCTTCAAAGCGACTGACTACGGACGGGCTCCGAGGAGCGCTCGGTGGTGCGATATGGCTAACAGGCGGCAAGCAGGAGGTGTGCTCGGAGCGCACAAACCTCGCGTTTACACCGCTTGGCTTGCGGTATGACCAAGCCTATCTCATGTTTGGGCCAGTATGCCGTGCGATTGGGCAGAGTAGAGAGATGTGGCGCGACTCGAGACGTCGGCCGACCGAGAGGGTGTGGCGCAGGCCGATGACCCGACGACAAGGTCGCACCAGTCCCAAGACCGTATCGCGCGAGCCCGTGTGCGATTACCGACCGCGCAGGTCCAAAGCAATCTACGATGATGCGCTCGGGAAACAACGGGAGACGCGGGCGCTCGGGCGTATCAGACGCTGGCGGGTGTGATGCGGAACGAGTTGGACGGGGCACTCCGATGTTTCCCGTGTATCACCTTCCTCGTTTCGACTTGGGCGATGCTGTACAAGCTTCACTTGTAGGTAGTATGAAACAGGATCAGTATAGGCGTGTGCCGACGACCTTAGATGTCTGCGCTTCCGGCGGCTCTTTGATGGGCCTTCTCGGCGCCGAGGTGGGATGGGAAAGCAACTTCTCAGTGATAACAACCTATTGTGAACCATGACAGTGCATACCGATTGAAGCTTAGTTTACAGCAGGACTTAGCGTGACGTGACGCTGACTTTGACCTAAAGGAACAGCGATAGCAATATGATTGCAGATCGCGAGCACGATGGCAAGTGACTGGTAGGGTACAGCCATGAATCTCTCAGAGGTCGTACTCGTACCGATATCCATATGTACTACTGTCATGACTGTCCTGTAGACGTCGCTCGACCAATGGCATCGCTTGGAATACAAGGTCGCCTGTGAGAGCGTGAGTAGGTGCCGAGAAGGTGCGATGCAGAAAGATGAGACTGACTGTTCGAAGATGCTTTCATACAGGTACACCCATCCATCGACCACGAAGGTGCACCGCTTTCCAACCAATGGCAGAGCTGGAGATGGTAATTCGCTGTACCGTCTCTGCGAGTACACAAGATGAGCTAGGAGCATCAGGTCAAAGTTCAGACGCATACACGCACCTCCGCGATAATCCATCTACATCAACTTTGCCGCTTTGCCTCCGCCGAACCAGCGCGTGATACCACTCCAGTACACACCGCCCTGAGCACCATCTCTAGGCCCTACATAGTTCACCATGAGCCCTCGACAGAGGTCAGATGCGACTCGCGCAGTCGCTGGGCAGGCCCCCGCCCGCCGCTCCTCGTCTACTGGAAAACCTAGAACAAAGGCAGGCGAAACACGTACCCACGCGGTGCAGTACTCTACAAACGGGCGCGCGCCGATCCCGCGTCGACCGTCCGTTCCGTGCGTGCTATGAGGATGCCGTGAAGGTTCGACACGTGTGTTGGCGGAGGAGGACGAAGATGGTATGGTAAGGGGGCCCTTTGTTGAATGTCGTTGGGGAGGAAGTATATGTGCTTGATGCGCCGAGTGAGACCCGGCGGCAGCGTGCCGTGGACGGCTCAGGTGCTCCAGTGCTACGCCTTTCACGATGCGGCTTCGCGGTATGATCTGCGCTTCTGTTCTTTCAGCAGCAATACGCGAGCTGTTCCGACGAACTGACCCGGCCGTCGCGCTGCCTTTGTGCTCTGTTTTCCAGAAGAGTGCGCATGTCAAGCACGCGCCACAGCTCACGAGGAGCGAGAAGCGGGAAGCGGAGGGTGGGATGAACGTGTGCTTCCTCGGCCGCACGGAGCGCGCGGGTCAAGCTCTTGCCGCAGCGCGTCTCTTCGGGGTGTGCTCGCGCCTGTTAGAAGCCAGAAGCAACCGTGCGTCATGGAAGGAACCCGATGCGTAACGGAGCGAACAACGAAGCGACGGGAAAGAGTTCAGAGCTTCACTTAGTGCGGGGAGAGAGCATGGCTCTGCTGGGAAGGTGCGCGAGCCCATTCCAGTACGGACCGAGCCTGTTCAGAGTTTCTTCTGCTCCGCACGCTCGTTCGCGGGAGTCCGACCGTCAGACATACAGGCCCGACGCGATCCTCTGATCATGAGTACGCGAAAGAGCGGCAGTTGACCTAGCCAAGCTGTTCCGCGCATGTGCGGGGGACGGTCCCGGCGGTCGACATTGATCGTGCAAAAATCAAGGTTTACCGCGACTGTGGGGAAGCTTTGTCGAACAGTCGACGACTTTAATCTCGCTGAGCTCAGACCATCGCACGCCACGGTGGCGATATAGCTGAGCCGCCTGCGCCGGTCTACGTCGGAGCGCCGGAGGAGGGCGACGATAAGCAAAGGGTGCAGATACGCGACCGAGTCAGCGCTGGATCGAGAGAGTGCACACAAAGCACGTCGGCGTGCACAATTGACTGTGCCAATCAAAGCGCGGGACGGGCGTCCCGACCGAGCCTCCGCCGACGGGCGCCCACAGCGAGCCTCGTGCCCGCGCGTCTAGATGACGCCATGAGCGCGCTTTGCCCCTGCGTGCCGATGGTCGATGGCGGGCTGCTGTATCGCAACCATCTGCGTCGTATCGTACAGCACGGGGGTGACGGGAGATGACGCAGTCTCTGAATCTTTTGTGTCGACAACGACGCCCGCCCGTTGATGTCTGTCGCCTTGTTACGCGGAGAAAAAACTGCGAGGGGGTCGAGAGCGCGCGTTTCGAGCCCCAGACGCGCGCGCACGTTCGGCTGTTTCTGAAGCGGGAGCGGCACGTGCGAATTTATTTTATTATTTCTTTGTTCTCGGCTTCTCCTTCCTTCCTGGGCGTTCTGGGCGAGCAAGTAGAGTACAGGTATGGGTATGGAAGACTTGGGGTACAGCATGGCTACGCAGTAATACATGCAGCGGATACAAATAGAGGGTCAGAACGGAGGGGTTGGGGTGCTCAGTCCTGAAAGGGAAGAGGAAGAGTGACCGTGGCGGTGTGACTGCAACAGAGCGGTCGAGCCTGGACGCGCCGGAGGAAAAAGGGGAGGAGAGGCCCATGCGCGGATGATGACTCGTGCGCAGAGCACAAAAGTACTTAAGCCAGGCCCGAAAATATTCGGACCGAACCAACTCCCTGCCCCGATGTTCGAAGAAGACCTCTGCCTCCAGTGCGGCGTCAAGCCCTGCGCGCCGTCCTCTGTCTACTGCTCGCACTCCTGTGCAGAGCTCGACGCCGCGCCCAGCTCGCCTGCTCTCTCGCCATCGCAGTCTACCGCGTCCTCGGCCTTCCCTTCGCCTAGCTTACCGCCTTCGCTCGGCAGCAACTACAACATCCCGCCATTGGCTCTCGACCGCGCCGGTGCAGCCATCATCGCCGCCAAGGGTCGTGGAGATGTCTGGGACGATAGCGACTCTGATGCGTCCGAGCCCGCGTACGCTCTCAGCTACGCCCGCCGGCCATCTGCTACCAACAACCGGTCCATGATCCCGACACTCACACACTCCAAGCCGAGCATGCACCGCCGCGGCTCGTCGTCGCTCTCGTCGGACCTCTCCGTCTCGCCGTCCTCGTCGACGCACACCCATCTGCACTCGCAAACTACCATCACCGCACGGAAGCGTGCCAACCGCGCCTCGCTCCCGGCACACTTCCAGCTCTTACAAACCGCATCATCACACTCGCCCTCGTTGCGCGCCACACGCCCGGGCCTCGCCATCCCATCACTCGCCTTATCGGGCGCGCATACTCGCGTCAGCCCGAGCACGCCCAAGCTGGCTGGCCCCGCATTCGACTGCACCCCGGCCCTTGCCGGCGCCTCGCCCTCGAGCGCGCCCATGGCCAGCATCGCATCAACATACGCATCGACCTACGCTAGCGAAGAGCGTGGCCGGAGGCGTGAGCCGGGGAGCTCGCGCCGCCGCGAATCAAGTCGCAGCGCCAGCCGCAGCCGGAACAGGAGTAGGAGCAGGAGCCGCCCACCGCGCGAGGCCGACGACGAGGCGCGCGGCCGCCGCTTTGCGGGTGCTCGGGACTGGGTTGGCGCACGCGAGTACGGCTTCGGCCATGGCCGCACGGGCCTTATCGCGCGAGAGACCGAGGCTGGCCGCGGACGCGCGAGGTGAGCGTGCACGGGCGCGCTTATCTCTACGTGTGTCTGCTCCGTCGCATCAGTTCTGCCCTTGTCCTCGCTGTCGCCATGCTATCACATATCTTCGTCCTTTCTCAAAAGCATTACCGTTTTGCATCCCCCCTCTGCTCGTTTTCGAACATGAACCTTTGAACGCCAGCATATCTTACCACGTCGTACATCCCCCATCTCCGCTCTCCATGGCCAATTACGCATACCATACGCCACAAACCCCATCCCAATCTTAGCATAGCATTTCAAACACCCCCACCCCACCTCCACGCATGAAATCTAGTCGAGTCGAACGAAACAAAAGAAGTCACAATTTTGCAACCCATATATCATATATCTTGTCCGGACCTAGTGGATCTTTCTCTTCTCTCTATTTCTCTCGGGTCTCAGAATCAGGACTGGACTGGAAGGCGCCCGTAGTACACGAACTGGCTAGTTGTCTCGCGGAATACCCTACTGTACCATCAGCCTAAGACAAACGAACAAAGGCATTCCTTTGTTATGCCCCTCAGACCCTTTCATTTGCGTGGAGATTTTCTTGGAGTGCCTGTCAATCATTTCATATCTCATTTCTGGTGAGACCGCACTTCGCCGCCGCCGCGGGGATCTTTCTGTTATCTTCAGATCTTTTTTTCCTTTCTTTCGTCTTCTGTTGGCGTACGTACGATGCAAGCCTGGTTTGCAGTCGGATCCCTCACAAGCGAAGATCCCGCCACGCCGCGAGGCTTATGCGCACGGCGATCCTGCGCTGCATCCCGACTCGCAATCTCGCGCGTCTCACCTCACGCAAGCCGCACGAAAGAGCACCGAACCCGGATTCCCACTGTGGATTGACCGCGTCATTTTCCTCGTCATATCGTTCCCCATTCTTTCGCACTCATGATCCCCACATCATGTACTCAGACGGCCCAGCATACGAGTGCCCCGTGCGCCCTGCTTATTTCCGCGCGCATATACGGTCACGCGCTATGCGCACGAGATGCAGGCGCTGATCGGCGGGCGGCGGGCGGCGGGCGGCGTCATCCCGCACGTCGATGGCGGGGGCCAGGTTGTATGCATGCGCAGTAACGCGCTGGGGTTCGGCCGGTTGCGGTCGCGGGGTACAGTCGTACGGGCCATCTGATGATACGGCGTGACCTGCGAGCCTGGTGTCTCGGCGCTTCGAGAGCCTCTGCCTCTGAGACGTCTATTACGGACTGTACCTCTTTGGAGTCTTCAGCTTATTCGGAGACTACGGTAGGGAGATCGCGCGACACGCGGCGTGCTGTGTCGACGCGTTTGCTCGCGCGTCGCGAGGATGGCGCGAGCCGCGCTGAGCGGCGAGCCGCGGTACGACGCGTGACGTCATGCGCACGCGCTCGCGGGTGCTTCTTCTCGCCGCCGGCCACCGTGCCGATCCTCCCTTTTGCGTTTAGCCTTTGCCTTCCTCGCGACCGTGTTTTGGCAATCCTCGAGCCTCGCCCGGTTGCTGGCTGGAGACGGTGGCCATGGGGGAGCGGTGGGGTAAGCGTTTTAGGTCTAGACGATCTAGACTCTAGAGCTCGTAGCTGGTTGCACCGGTGCTGCGTATGAGATCGACCGGACAGCGACTGGGGTACTCGTCGAGGCACGGCTGCATCGCATGGACCCATAGCGCACGCCGCACGGAAAGTATTGTCAGAATTAATTCAGGACGAGGACAGTGGGGCCGGCCGGGGGCAACTGCACTGGTGGCGTTCCTGTGGTCAGACCGGACGACAGCCTGGGTATAGTGCCGTTTTTGGGACAGGCTCGTGTGAGATGTGCCCCTGGCAGGTGAGCGTGCCGTAGGCAGATGCTGTGGGTCTCGTGAGGGGATGATGCGTGCGAAGCGTAGGGTATCTGTTATCTGTAATGAGAAGATGAAGAGGCGCGTGCCGATGAGGGTTCACTTGATCCGCTGTAGTGTAGAGTTGTATTGTAGGCCGAATCATTCGTTTTAAACGACAGTATAGGATAAACCAAACGGGTTGCGGAGGTGCATACATAGTTCAGCTCGTACAGCTCGATGGCGAATATAGACCTCGTAACGATATCTCACGTTGAGCGCCTCGGTCGATCTCCACCCCGGTATCTGGCTGCACAGTACGCAGCTACTCCAGCTCGTCGTGCCGTTCACCCTGCTGCGATGGATGCCTGACAGATGCCTACACTTGACGCACGCGCAGTGAATATTTGGATCCGTCGCCTGAGGCGATGCGAGCTGGCATGGGCCGAGATCACCTGCGCAAATGAACGAGAGTACACCCGCAAAGAGGGCACCATGCAAAGAATAGGTTAGCTGTGTGCCATGTAAGACTCTATAGTTAAGACAGAATGGTGGGCGTACCTCTAGATCCGACCTTTATTCAGGCGAAACCAGACTTCCCTAGCGTCATTGAACGCACATCGAGAACGATTTACAAAATGATTGCTCAATTGTAGCCGGTTGCACAGCGACGCAACGCGAGAAGACAGGATCCGCATATACCGAGACATTACTTGTTCTTGCGCAACCGCGCTTGGAGGCCGTCACGCCAAAGACAACTGGAGACAAATCACGCAATAGTTTATTCTTGTGACCACACGACAAAAATGGCATTGTTACATAACAGATGGACATGGCGCGGTCTAGACTGCAGCACACGCAACAACCACTGCCGGGATTCGGTGTGTTTTGGTCCGGAAAGACAAGGGAGATATGTCTGGAAAAAGTGTGCTGATTTCCTCCTGATTTCCTGGGAAAACAAGGGTGTTATGGACTAAATATAGTAGGGATGGTTTCCCAAAGAGATACGATNGACATACACCTCGCCCATTGTTTCCACTTCGGGCATGTCCATCGACCCGGAAATAGGCAACGTATCTTCGTGGCGGCAGCCTGTCGTCCTCCCGCGTATCTTCGCAGTCGTAAAATTCGGATACAGCTTAGACTCCCGAGCTCATGAACAGTCCAAGGTGATGCGCTAGGGCAAGTTGTGGGGAGGCTGAAGCTGAAGAACGAGGTTTGCCGCGCCGCACCGTGGCAGACCGTGGCCGGCAGTGGCCGGCCCGGTATACTGACCTCGCTGCCGTTGGCATCGCGCCTCTTCGCTCTCGACTTCCACTGTCCTCGCTTACCTTCGGATGATTCGTGCTCTACACACGTACCTATCTTCTACCCCCCATCTCCTGTAGCTAAAACACTCAGATGTACATCCTCTCATTGTAAATGCAGTGTTGCCTGACGAATGTTCGTTCGCCAACTCGTCCTAATCGCGGGGTCTCCTAGCTGTCGCGGTCGCGCCTACAGCTTCGCCAATTGCCCCCCAACCTTAGAAGAAATTGTGGTCGTCAAGGGCACAGCACTTGACTGCATCGCTCGGACTACCATCAAACTGACCTTCGTTGCTCATCACCGGTACCGGTACCATAGTCACTGGGCGTCACTGACAGTCACTGACGAGTCGCTGTCGACCACGGACTGTCATCGCTGGTCATTGACGTGCACTGACGGTCAGATCTCAGACTTTGACTCGAACTTTTCTGACTTGCTTGCTCGTCAGCCGGTCGACAGCAACTTCGGCGTGGCGATAGACAAGTCTACGTGTCAATCGCAAGCGCCTCATCAACAAAGCTATGCGGTACATTACCTGTTGGCGAAAGCTATTGGTTCAAATGCTCTCGGGATCAACAAGGACAATGCATCAACTCGTGGCTCGGACGCCGCCAGACCACGCCGCGCGTGGTGCGCCCGAGTGCATAGGCAGTATAGCATGCCCGTGAGCCTGCAGATCTCCAGCTTGCGCCCTAGATTGACGGCAGCGAATGTGCCGCAAACACCGAGGTGATTTTGGGGCAGTAGCCATGATCTCACCTCTCTGCAACATGGCAGGAGGACGACAGGCTGCCGCCACGAAGATACGTTGCCTATTTCCGGGTCGATGG